TATATGGGGTGATAACGGAACAAACTCCACCCACCACAATGAGACTTCTCCCATCGACCAAAGTACGACTCCTTCGTTGGGTTTTTCCAAACTGTGCCGGGTGCTGTGCCCTGGTTGAATGTTTCATGTGCTTGGGGAGCCCATTTCACTGGCTATCATCAGTGGATGAGGCCGAAAGTGGTTTAGTGACAAGCGGCACGCTTACCAGGAGCACGGTTGTGGATCGGGTCCCGCCTAGGTCAACCAAACTTTCCTACCCACCGGGTGCGTAAATTGGTATGACATTCGTCTGGGATGACAAAAACACTGACCTGTACATCAGCCGCCCCGCAACTTGTGTAGGAGCATGCCAAATCCCGAAAAGGGATTAATCAACGACGATATCCTTTCTCATCCATTATTGGCATCAACTTGCTTCTCATGCAACTTGCATCTCATGCCATTTCCTGAGACAAGTATGTTTTTGCATACTCTGAGGGGTCACCAAGGTCCAAGAACGCTATGTAGTTCCTTTTGTGAAAATGTTGAAAAGAAAAAGCTTCTGCGCTTAGGCTCCATTTCAACCTACGCACCGATGGTCTCGACTGTGGCGACGACGCGGCTGAATTCTTCTCAAAAGCGATTGACGAACCAGGTGTGTCTATACCCCACAATTTTCATTCTCTCCAGACAGTTCACATTGCAGATGTTCGTCTTCTTATGTATGTAGATGGCCTGTTCACCGAAAGGACGTGTGTTACACATCCTGACTGGTGGAACAATAATGTCCCTAAGAGGAAAGACAATGTATGTCTTCACCCTTGAAGATCTTTCTACTTCAAAGAGATTGAAAGTGCTAAATACATAAGCTTACGTCAATATGAATTAATTTTAGTGCGCCTACGCAGACCTAGCACCGTACATGATCACCACACAAGCGTTCTCTAGACGAACTCAATACTAAGTTGGAAAACAGCGTGAGCAATAGTTGAAATTTATTTGATTTTAATTTTTTTTCATTCTAACTTAAATCTCAGAACTAACGCAACCTTTAGAAAATATATCCAACTTGCTTTATTCCTGCCTCAACCCTCAAATTATTAGGTTGTCGCATAAGTTCTTATACACGTGTTTGACCCTCTCCTATTTCGTTCGCATGGAT